GTAAATTAAAACGACAAAATAAGTGTGTGTTGTTTTTTAACAATTTAATTTAAACATACAAATCATTCAAAAGAGAATAAATAATTCAAAATAACTTTCTCAAAAGCTGTAAAGGCTGCCTCAATATTATAAAGCACTTTTGAATTGTGTACACTAGAAAATAAACGAGGCAAGACAAATAAAAATTACTGTTGGAATTCAATAAAAATTTGTTTAACCTATAAAATGTTTTGTTAAAAAAACAAGTGGATTACTTAACAGCTGACCAGGCCAAAGTAGGTAAAAAAAACGCCAAAAAAAGTCATTTTCATTATATCGATAATGCAAATTTTTTTGTGTGGATCTTTTGAGAAAACATTCTAAGAAATTGCTATCATGTTTCCAAAGTCTAAGCAGTATGTTATTACTGGTGGTTTTATATAGCGTGGTACCCCAGCCTAGAGCTGGGCTCACCACGCTGTACATACAATTTAACAAACATAATCATAAACTTAAAAAATTAATTAACACACATTAATCAAATGAAACAAAACAAATGTATATTTAAAACTATTTACAAGACAAGCCATGGACGACACCCAGTAGCATCGTTTTTTCGGTCAGAGGTGGGAATCAGTCAGGATGGTAAAGTTTAAAAAGATGTGTTTTGAGTGCTGTTTTGAATGCTGTGATGGTCGGTATATTGCGAATATGTAGTAGAAGAGAATTCCATTGTTTGGGGGCACAGAAAGAGAATGATCGTTCAGCGTATGTTTTTGTGCGAGTCTAGGGGACAGAAAGAATGCGCGCGTCTGCGGAGGGGTGAAGTGGGGAGAGCTGAGCTAGAGGATGATTTGTTATCGTGAATAAGGAGTGCTTCCGTTTTGTCATCTTAAGGTTCAACTTGCTGAGTTTCATCCATGTCTTGACATCACAAATGCTCTCCCGCAAAGTCCGGACAGCGGAATCGACAAGAGAGTGATGGGTATGCTTGTATAGCTGCGTCTCATCTGTGAATGACTGGCTCTCTACTGCATGTCTCCCGAGCAAGAGGAGCAGTGGCCTGGTATTCATTGTGAATAGAACCGGGCCTAAAACCGACCACTATGGCAACCGTACAACAAGCCAGCACTGCAGGAGAGTCAGCGATCGACAGCGACCGCCTGCGTTATATCTGAGAGATAGGACCTAAAACCAATCCAAAACTGAACCAGAAATTAAAAAGTAATTGTAAAAGTTTTTGTAAAGGGTTTCATGGTCAACAGTGTCAAAGGCCGCACAGAGGTCTAAGAGAATCAGGATGGAGATATCACCGCGCAGTGATAATTTAGGATGCCTCTGTCGAAAGCCATAAAGCCAATCTTTACTAGCAGCTTTCTTATTATGCCATGATTCAGGTATTTTTATTTTGTTAACTACGGCCATCTCGTAGGCTAATAATTTCACACTGGCTAATTTCAGCCCATTTTTTGAACATGCTTCCCGGTAATCTGCAAACATAGTCTCTTGGTCAGCTGTGAATACCATGGCCCATGGCATGTTTGTAATTTGGTTGTAATTTTTTTTTTCTTTTTTTTTCAAAGTTGTGCGTGATATTCCGAATAGTGTAGCAGCAGCATGTATCGACTTTCCCCTTTAAAGGCATCAATTGCATTTCTCATAACTTGCAATGGTATTTGACCCTTATCTATGTTTCTTGTGTAGTTTCTAGTTCTAGGCATGAGCCTGCTAGAAAAGAAAAAAACCTTTTGCTACAATAAATCATGACTTATAATTCTAAATTTTTATTTAAATTTGAAGTTAATTCTTCTTCTTCTTCTATATCTTAAGGGCCCACGATCAATTTATTGATCATTTTGGCTCCTATGCATGTAGATGGGATTTGCAATGTTTCTGTTACTGGTGTTGATGAGGAAATCATGCACTAGGGGTTTGAAGGCTTGAGGCAATAGACACAAATGTGTCTAGTGTTGTCGCCTCAACCGTTCCTTTTGAAAGATTGTTCCATCGTCATGCTCAGTACAGTAATACGTATTAATTAATTCAAGAGTATGCAGTAATAAAGCATAAGAAAATTAACAGTGGGGAGAAACGGACACATGTCCATTTATCCCCATTATTTTGGCACGTTTCACCCCACTAGGGGATTGATGCAGAATTATTTTTTTTTTAATTTAAGTTTGTGATGTAAATACTCAAATTTAATATGAATTACTATAACTTACGAAATATTATAAATTAAACTATATTTACCTCTATTCTTGATGAACAAGTTAAATTTCTAGACGCTTTAATGAGGTATGTTCAAAACAACATTTTTTATGTCAAAATTTTACTCGTAATTCATTTGATTCATCGCTGGTCATAAAACCTAGAACCTCTTAGAAATCACAAAAAGGAAGTATTTTATGCATTCATTTAGTTCCGAGACAATTTGGTCCAGTAGATTCGATTTTATACGGGGGCGGTCCATTTCTCCCACCTGTCCATTCCTTCCGATTCTCCCTTATATATTTTAAAAATATATTTAGAAATTTTCTCGAGAGAAATGTTTCTTTCTTATTTTGATCTGCGAATGTCAAGGATATGTCTTTCCCTGTCACACTTATTTCTTGTCTTCTTCGGCTTAGACTCAAGACAAAAAAATTAGCCTACGAAAGATTTTTTAAGTCCATAATTTTTTAATGAATTTCAAATTATGTAATGCCTATTATACGTGAGCAACATGCAGTTCGCTGTCTCTCTGAGTCTCATATTTTGATATTATTTCTTCAAGCGTTTACTGCCATCTGTTGGCATTACATTTCAGTCCCAGACACTACTGATTCCATGTTTTAAAAAATCGAGATTAGCATGTGACCTGCAATCTGATAACATTTGACACAAGCTTTAATTTGGGAGCTCAGTAGAGACCTGAAAAGAAAATCTGAGGAGCAGAGAAATTATACCAAGCACATCAATGTCTTTAAGCCAGGAGCACCGGGAGTATCGTTGCCCGGTGTGAACAGAAGCAGGAATAAATTATAACATTTATTTACAACGGGACGATGCACGACCTGGAGCTCAAATTTATTTTTTCTTGACCAAAATTAAACTACTTATTACCCAAATTAAACTACTTATTACCCAAATTAAACTACTTATTACCCAAATTAAACTACTTATTACCCAAATTAAACTACTTATTACCCAAATTTCTATTATTACCTTCTTTTTTTTTTTGGTCCCTCCGTGTTCGGGTGGGGGTTGTGGGTGGGGGGTGTGATGGATAATTTTTATAAGGCAACAGGGGACATTCATGACATTGTTCATTTTTTTTTATTGGGGGGGGGGGGGGTACTATTTACGTCAATTATTACGGCTCATTCAACTAAGGCTTTAACGACATCATCAAAAACTCACAAATAAAATGCGTCTAAAGGGTGTGATGGATAATTTTTATAAGGCAACAGGGGACATTCATGACATTGTTCATTTTTTTTTATTGGGGGGGTGGGGGGTACTATTTACGTCAATTATTACGGCTCATTCAACTAAGGCTTTAACGACATCATCAAAAACTCACAAATAAAATGCGTCTAAAAACTAATGTATTCAAAAATACAAAATGTTCGGGAAAACGATGTGTTTACGACAGGGGGGGGGGGGGGGCACACCTTATGACAAGGGACCACACCCAACGACACAAGTGGTGACAAAGCCGTTGACGTGCCTTGAATGGGTCACCTTAGGAACGATCAGTCTTTTGTACTGCCACCTGCCAGCAGGACAAGTATCTTCTCTCTAGAAACATTCAACAGACGTTTTCCTTGCGTTCCAAAATTCCAAACTCGATTCAAAACATAGGACAATACCGTGGTCTTATAAAGTTATCAAGGTTATCTATTTATGATGAAATACAGATTCAATTACTTGGCTTTAAATACCGTGGTCTTATAAAGTTATCAAAGTTATCTATTTATGATGACATACAGATTCAATTACTTGGCTTTAAATACCGTGGTCTTATAAAGTGATCAAGGTTATCTATTTATGATGAAATACAGATTCAATTACTTGGCTTTAAATACCGTGGTCTTATAAAGTGATCAAGGTTATCTATTTATGATGAAATACAGATTCAATTACTTGGCTTTAAATACCGTGGTCTTATAAAGTGATCAAGGTTATCTATTTATGATGAAATACAGATTCAATTACTTGGCTTTAAATACCGTGGTCTTATAAAGTGATCAAGGTTATCTATTTATGATGAAATACAGATTCAATTACTTGGCTTTAAATACCGTGGTCTTATAAAGTGATCAAGGTTATCTATTTATGATGAAATACAGATTCAATTACTTGGCTTTAAATACCGTGGTCTTATAAAGTGATCAAGGTTATCTATTTATGATGAAATACAGATTCAATTACTTGGCTTTAAATACAATAGTGTTCAAGATGAGTCGCGCTAAGACTTTGATTTAAGTTGCGTCATGATAACAGCGATGGATCTCCTTGACATCCAAGTGTAGAAACCAACAAAGGAGCTCTTCCTTAGAGGTCACCCCAGTAGGCTTCCACCGCCTTATCATAAAGCAATGTATTTCTGTGAGGTCCCTTATCTCAATTTTGAGGGAGGAGATGTCAAGTTTACAAAGTTATTGCTTCGTTTCAAGCTAGACTCATCATTGCTGCAGACAGTCCAACGTTTTTATCTGGGTAGCGTTAGTCGGAGCAGAAGCAGAAAATTTCAATGAAAATACTCGTCATGACTTTCGAAGCTGAAATGATTGGATGATTGGATGATTGGTTGATTGGTAGATTTGATGATTGGACTTGGAATATAGTCTTGGAATTCGCTGAGGCGGTAGGGGCGATTTCCATATTTATTAATTTTTTGTTGTTTAGAATTTTTTTTAAATTTCAGTGTTTTTAGCGTTATAGGGCGAATGTGTGAGTACACTTTGATAGCGATTCAAAGCCTTGACGGAGTCATGATTACATTATGCCATTTGAAAACTCAAAGTCATGAAGAAATCCTTTTACAGCAAAGTAAGAAATAATTACGAAATCCATTTGACGACGTTGTATACAGTTGATTCATGTTGTTGTAACGGTGGACTGTCTTGTAAACCTTTGGTGGATGTAGGCCCGCCACCGCCTGGCCCTTGTAATGAATGTAGATGTGAACATACCTGGGACAAAGAAATCAATGGGCAGTTTTACTATTTCGTATGCATTAAGCGATATGCATGCATGCATACGCTTCCTATCTATGTTAGAGCTGCATAATAATAAGACGTACTAGATAGCGTCGATGAGTTAAACTTAAACAAACCCTAAATACAAAGTTCTTCATATAAATCCTCTATAAAATGTAATATCGAATAATGGTTGGGGGGGGGGGCGCTAAAAATTTGACGAAACAAGCATACAAGCAACGCACTTTAGAAGAATACCAATTAGGGCTCCCCATTACCCCCTAAGGCTCACAACTGAACATTTTCTACACGCCCAAGAACTATATTAATATTATATATTATAATGACCCATCCAGTTTCTACACCGCCATTTTTGTCTCGCCAACGGTTTCAGAAAAGCAAAAGAAATCGCACTAACGATTTTTTGTTCCCCAAAGGATCTCATTTAGCGCAGTTATCGGGAATCTCCCTTCGTGATCTCATTGAAAAACAGGAAAAACTTATATTTTTTTGGAGTTGGAGTGGGGGGGGGGTGGTGGTGGGAGAACATATGATAGAATGTGTCGTCATTGGAAACGAGTCTATGTGCTAAGAGTCAGCTCCAAAGCATGACGTGAAGTCGGTCAGTAAGCCGTCCGAAGATTTCTTCACCCAGCCACAAAAAAAAGCAAAGTTAATATAAAAGATTTCAGAGTTACCAGTGCAAAGTTAGCTTCCTCTGACCCGGATGTAAATGTACACATTCTTTGTTAGTGGTTAAAAATAAATCGTAATGATATTTTTTTGTAATTTTTATTTACTGTAAACTATTCTGTTGTCTAAAGGACTTCATAATTTATTTATTTTTTTTAACATCAGTCCGATAAGCAAATAAGATAGCCATCGTATCTCCCCCGGACCACAGCATTTTTTTCCCCGGCGAGCTCGGGTACAAGACGCGCGTATGCACTGCATTTTGGCCTCGGCTTATCATCATGCAACAGACACCTTCTCAGACCTCTCCATTCTTTCGACAGCATTTCATTTTGATCTGAGCTACACTTTAAGGAATGGACAAGAAGGGCGGAAGACTCACATTATTGGGTTTCTTTGATATTGATATAAGGCATCTTAAGTAGTGATCCCCACCTTTTTTTATCTTCAGAACTAACGTTAATGAAAAAAAAAATTCTTTTATTATTTAAAAAATGTGGGTTTTTTTATATCCCTAAAAAGCCCCTCCCACCCTCCCCCCCCCGTCAGGGCGAGCTGCCGCTAGATCTCCCCCCCCCCCCCCCCCCACTTTTTCCGGGGGGGGGCCGCGGCCGCTAGACCCCCCCCCCCCTTTTCCAAGACTTGTTACGCTCCAGGCTAACGTATCCGGAAATTAGTAGGAAACCAATTTTGAACAAAACCTAAGTGTGCGACAAGGGAAGTAAATCTCACCGTAAACAAGTGGGTCAAAACAGGCGTTGGACACAGCGAGGACAAAGAGAAACCGTTGAACTTTGGGGTCAAGCTGCATGGCTTGTTCCCTGGTGATGTATGAATCAATAGTTGATGGGCATTAACTCTAACGCTGACATGCGACACCAACCCCCACCCCCTTTTTATGCTTTAAACTATACATGAATAAAATCTGAGGCATCACATCGAGTAATCTTTAAAAAAAAAAAAAAATAAATAAATAAAACACACACACAAAGGGTAATCTGAAATATCAGTTTCCCCACTCCGTTGAAATGTTAGGACATTTGAATCCTTTCAATCATAAGTCTGTTTATATGTCTTCCTAAGCCAATGGCAGCCGAAATATGATCGACAAAATGTATTTTTTTACATGTGAGTATTATAAAAATTATATTTTCCAATGTTACGTTTCGTCATAACATTGTTTTCCTCATGAGTGATTAAAAAGATCATTTTAAAATCAGGGTGAAAAAAAAAAATTTCTTTTAAAAACTCCCTTAATTTTTGTATCCCCACAACCCCCCCCCCCCCCCCAAAGCATGCTAGCTACGTTAAAGATGAATTGTGACCATCGTTTTGATACGTAGCTGACATGAGCTGCCAAAACAGTTATAATCCGTGTCACCATGGGCGATCGTGTTACACTCTGGCGAGAAGCTGAGATTTTGTTAAGAGGAGATTTATTTTAACATGAGACCAGAGAATGAAAAGTGTTGGACGTTGAGAAAACTAGGGCACGGGCCCGGGGGGCAAAAAGGGGGGGGGGGGACTTCTACGGTTCAGATGGTAGCGGTATTTATCTAATCCCATTGCTTCATTTTCTTTTCTTTTTTCTATTTAAAAAAAAAAAAAAAGTGAAGAGCTATTTTTCTGGAGCATTCACTACTCACTTTGAGATCCAGTGGAAAGCGAGGATGGCAAAATATGGAGTCCAGCACAGTAGAAAAATGCTGACTGTGGACAAATAATAAAATAAAACGATTAAACCTTAAGAGAAAAAAAAACATGATTGCACAATTTATTGCTAATTCTTCATCTTGATTAGAGGCAGTAGAGCTGATTTGTTATAACAAATTCCTACCCCTCAGCCACCCTCGGGGCTCAGGACACTATGTCTGTGGTGGCACACCTGACAGTGAGCGTTGCTATGCCCCATGCGCTCACCGAGGCACATCTGACAGTGGGCGTTGCTATGCCTTATGCGCTCACCGAGGCACATCTGACAGTGGAGGTTGCTATGCCCCATGCGCTCACAGGGGCACATCTGACAGTTGGCGTTGCTATTCTCCATGCGCTCACTGGGGCACATCTGACAGTGGGCGTTGCTATGCCCCATGCGCTCACCGGGGCACATCAGACAGTGGGCGTTGCTATGCTCCGTGCGCTCACCGACGAGGCACCTCAGACAGTGGAGCTTGCTAGGCCCCATGCGCTAACAGGGGCACATCTGACAGTGGGCGTTGCTATTCTCCATGCGCTCACTGGGGCCCATCTGACAGTGGGCGTTGCTATGCCCCATGCGCTCACCGGGGCACATCAGACAGTGGGCGTTGCTATGCTCCGTGCGCTCACCGGACACATCTGACATTGGGCGTTGCTATGCCCCAAGCGCTCACCGGGACACATTATGTTGATGCAAATTCGAGAATCGTACGACATGTACTGATAGTATTATAGGTGTTCAAACGATATTAGTTGCCGTAGATCAGCTATTCTCCACCTGTGGATCGCGACCCTTTTGGGGGTCGAATGACCCTTTCGCCGGGGTCGCCTAAGACCATCGGAAAACACATATACTCTAAACTTACGACGTTGCAACGAAAATAAGTTTATAGTTGGGGGTCGCCGCAACATGAGGAACTGTATTGAAGGGTCGCAGCATTAGGAAGGTTGAGAACCGCTGCCGTAGATGGATATGAGGTAGGAACAATGTGATGAAAGGAGGTATATGGCGCCCTTTCTCGTAAGGACGATGGGGTGGACGAACGTATGGGGCGCCCTTTCTGGTAATGACAAGGGGTGGAAGGAGGTATAAAGCAACCCCTTCTGTAAGGACAATGAAATGGAAAGAGGCGGCCCTTCTGTTGGGGACAATGGGATGGAACGAGGTACGCTAGGACGTTGCATAATCAGCAAAGTCTATATTTTCAGCTGTTTTCCTAAAGTAGATAAGATATCACACATTGATTTTTTTGTCCTTATGACGTGACAGTAGCCCGTGGTAGGTCCGACAACGGATCACGACTCTGAATTCGACTGTGGTTAGTCTTAGGTTCCTACTTTGTGTCATCAGCTCCTAGTTACAGGGAAGGTGGGGTGGGGGCGTGCTTATTATGATATGTCTTAGCAACCGTCTGGTGTACTGCTGTGGACAGTAATCACCAAGAGAATGGGGAACACTCAAGTAACCGACTGGTGTACTACTGTGGACAGTAATGACCAAGAGAATGGGGAACACTCAAGTAACCGTCTGGTGTACTACTGTGGACAGTAATGACCAAGAGAATGGGGAACACTCAAGTAACCGCCTGGTGTACTACTGTGGAAAATAATGACCAAGAGAATGGGGAACACTCAAGTAACCGCCTGGTGTACTGCTGTGGACAGTAATGACCAAGAGAATGGGGAACACTCAAGTAACCGCCTGGTGTACTACTGTGGAAAATAATGACCAAGAGAATGGGGTACACTCAAGTAACCGCCTGGTGTACTACTGTGGAAAATAATGACCAAGAGAATGGGGTACACTCAAGTAACCGCCTGGTGTACTACTGTGGACAATAATGACCAAGAGAATGGGAAACATTTATTTATTCTATTTTGGTGTGTATTTATTTAATGTTATATGTTTTATGTAATTTTAAGTGTAATTGTTGAATGTTAAGTGTATTTGTGTAATCGTATGTGTATTTTTGTAAAGTTATGTGTATTTCTGTAATGTGTTCGTTTATGAAATGCAGAGTTGAAAAACGATGACGTAGATACAGTGAGACAGATTTGGAGCCAAACTGCATTGATCGCCTTGACCTATTATATAATTCTTTCAAGAGTGTCTATGTTTTTTAATGTTTACTATCTAAGAAAGGGAACGTTTGCAAAGGTTCACCAAACTATATGACCTATACAATAAAAAGGACACGGCCCAACCGTGGGTACCGAAAGAATCGAATGACTACAGGTTAGGACCTTATTTAATACCTAGCAAAAGCGTCATCTTTAAAGTCTTCATTTTAGCCTTGGACAAGTTTTTGGTTGTTGAACATCTCATCTCCAAATTCCTGGCACCGTCAGTCGTGATGGGGAGAAGCTGTGTGTGGGCTGGAAACACAGTTGGACAATCATTATTTTTTTTTTTACATACGCACAAAACAATAATTTTAATAACACAACAAAAGATAAGGATAATAAAAAGTTCACTGCTGTAATAAAGACGCACCATTAATTTTTTTTTACATATTGCTCTAAATATAAGTAAATGGATTTTCAACTATTTCATTTCGACACAAACTAAAATAACGATGATTGGTCTGTTTTCTTTCATTTAAATTCAATTTTTAAACTTATCTAGCTCGTACCAGACTTAATTTCTGTTAGGAGTGGGAATGTGGTTAGAAAAAAAAATCTGAGGCCTTAGAATGTTTTTGAAGGTTTCTAATACACAGTTATTGAACCACAAAAAAGAACTCTTTCAAGTGTATGGTATCAAAACATGACAGAACTCTAAAAAAAATACTGTATTTATAGCAAATCCCATGAAAACTTAATGCCATTACCAACTAGCTCCGATCCGTTAAAAACTTAATGCCATAACTAACCAGCTCCGATCCGTTTGAAGTATCTGGACAAGAAGCCGTAACGCTGAGCTCTGTGTTTCTTATGCTTGGCATGCTGCTGGGATATCTGTGCTTGGGGGAACGTTGTGGTATTTGTGTAGTGAGTGGGTGAGCGACAGAGAGGTGTGTGGATGAAAGGGGTGGGGGGTGAATTAGGGATAAAGAAGAGAGGTTATTAATCAGTGAACTCTGAAAAACGTTGTTAAAATAAAGTAAAGCCAAACTTAATTATTTCCTGATGAAACCTAAAAAGCCTTTTGTGCGTCAGAGGTCAGCACTGAACTGTGCCATATTGTAGGCCAGATTTTTTTTTTTGTAGGGAAAAAAAAAAGAAATTTTTGTAGACGGGCTCAAATCTTTGGGTAAATCAATGTAAAAATGCACATTCATTATAACTGGTGACTCCATACACATATCTAGCTTATTCTCAAAAGAAACGCCTGCACTGTGACGTCATGTGAGGCAGTGGCAGTCGCATTTCATCCTCTGCTGTTCCTTTTTTCAAGACAGTTGGGTAGCTAGGGTTAGTACCGACCAGGGCGGTCCAAGACTTGCTGCCCCCCCCCCCTTTTTTTTTAAAGCCTAATGTACTCTTGGGCTCTCGTGTCCGACCATTAGAAAATTAACAGCGAATTCGACTTCATTTTGGGTTACCACATAGGGTGGAGTCTATGAACGGCCTCCCTTGGCAGACGTAGTCCTTTCATCTCGCTTAATGGAATTGTGTTAGTTCAAGGAGGTCAAAACGCGTTGAGACCGTGCACGAGCATGGGAGCAAGAAACGTGCAGGCTCACTCTGTTCAGCTTGTCCATAATTATGTTACGAAGAGCCAAGCTTAAGCCATCAGTTTATTTTGTAGACTATTAACACTTCGAATATCACATTGTCCGTTTTAAAGCATTGTATTTTAGCACTGGTTTTAAGAATAAAATCTCCTTATCCCCTAGCGACAACCAGTCATAACGCTACGCCCATGTACATGCCATGTATTTCCCCAAGAGTCACTCACCTTGAGGAAGATGAGCAGGTAGCACGTGAGGATGACGACCAGGGGGAGGAGGTAGACGGCCACGCAGTTGAATATCAGGTAGGCGAGCTCGTGCGTCGGGGTCGGGAAGAAGTTGAAGGTCACGCACTGGGAGAACCATTTAAAGGTGGGGTGGGTCTCCACGTGGAATATGATGCTCTGAAATATCAAGGTGTTGAGAATTTTTACAGGTGCAACAGACAAGAGACGGGACTGGAAAAATGATTCCTGTCAGGGCTGACGTCACGCTTTACCAGAGTAAACATCAATAAATAAAGTAAAGATACAGCACTAGGGTTATAGAGGCACAGAAATCAGAGCTTATACAGAGAAATGAAAAGGTTACATAGAGAAAACACAGAGACAAGACCAGTTATACAGACAACACAAATTATACAGAGGAAACACCAGTTATACAGCGACAACACCAGTTATACAGAGGCAACACCAGTTTACAGACAACACTAATTATACAGAGAAAACACCAGTTATACAGAGGCAACACCACATATACAGACAACACAAATTTTACAGAGGCAACACCAGTTATACAGCGACAACACCAGTTATACAGAGGCAAAACACCACTTATACAGACAACACCAATTATACAGAGAAAACACCAGTTATACATAGAGGCAACACCAGTTATACCGTGAAAACACAGGTTTCCGCGGAGGGGATCTGACATTAATCAGAATCACATCATTTTTATATAGACGTTTGATATTTCAAAAAAAAAATGTAACAGAAGGACTCAAATAGTGTACGACTCAAAAATGGTGTGGGGGAGGGGGGTTGATGGGGGTTGGGATAGGGGGATTAACATCACTGCTATTTTAACATTGGTAGGAATTTACTTAGAGCCTTGGATTCAAAAAATATGGTGGGGTTTTTTTTCGACTGCGAGTGAGTCTTGCATTGCTTCATTTCTACTGCGTTTCGAACTAACCTTTCTAAGGTTATGAAGTATTGTTGGCCAAGTGTTCTGTGTGTATATGTTATATATTCCGGCTAAATGTCATGAGCTTTGTTTATTGCTAGAAATGGACACGGCCTATGCATTATTCATTGAAATTGTTTATTTTACGATAAATATTATCCTTTACATGCCAAGATGACCGCGGCGAACTGCGAGCAGTAGGCTTGGTTCGGTTTGGGCTCTATTTTGTTTAAAATTAAGGAGAGTTGCCCATTGCGTCAGCCTCACTCTCTCGTCCTTGCATAGTGGATTGTTTCAAGCCTAAACGTATCTTGCTCCACTATTTATTTACTTCACACGTTTTGAACCCAGTACCTCGTATGAATTATACGACTTGGGAGGTGGGCCAAAATGCGGTTGATAACCAGTATTGTACCTGGTGTCTCACTCTGATCTTTATGTGCTCCACGTCGAAAGGAGTTGCCGGAATTTTCATTGTGTCAATGTCAGCCCGCCTACGGGACTCCTTCGGGTTTGAATGCAGAGTTTGCCATCCCTCAGAAGGGTTGCAAACCAAGGTGGACCGGTGGGCTGATGATGTTTTTGCTTGTCTGGGTTTTGCTGAGGGTTGAACTAAAATCCTTCATTTTGGAATCGACTCATTTTGACCGACCAGCCACATCATTTGTGTATATATTTACTTAATGCACATTTAGTTCCTATATGTTTAGTTAAATTATATTTATTTAAAATATGTTTATTTAATGTATGTTTAGTGGATGTTTGTTTAGGGGTTATGGAATAGCGAGTAGTTAGTGTTGAAACTATAGCTGCCAGTGTATGAGCACGGATAAGACCAAACGTTAATTAAAGATAGGACTGAACAGATCTCAGTTCTTTCTCCAGGTAACGGGTCCGGTTATTTCGAGACAATACCCTGCGGGTGTCAAAAAGCAGAAATGATTTATAGAAAACAAGAAATGTATTCCACGCATTGAGAACAAGTGAAAACTGTGTCTAACGAGCCATAAACTTTGAAGGCTTCATAACACCAATAGCATATAACACTTATTATATACCTAACACAAATCAAACATGGAGCGGAGCTGCGCTATATGCGTGCGTGCTGCTTGTCTCTGGATGGTAGTGGTTTTATATTCTTTATACAATTTTACAAAAATTATGTTGTTGTTTTTTCCAGCACCAGGGCGCCGTTCCATTTCATTCGCCTGGTCCGGGTATTTTTCTTGTGTGCAATCCTCAACTAATCCGGGTTTCCGGGTCTGCATCCTGCTCCCCCTTATTTGGAGCACCTTTATCGTCCTCGCAAGCTGACTGACGACATTGCAAGCTGACTGACGGCATCGCAAGCTGACTGACGGCACTGCAAGCTGACTGGTGGCATTGCAAGCTGACTGATGGCATCGCAAGCTGACTGACGGCATTGCAAGCTGACTGACGGCATTGCAAGCTGACTGATGGCATTGCAAGCTGACTGACGGCATTGCAAGCTGACTGACGGCATTGCAAGCTGACTGACGGCATTGCAAGCTGACTCACGCTGCAGTGACTAATCTACATCCAACCCATGACACCATTATGCACCCTCGTTGTTTTACGTCTAATTTACCCGAACAAAAACAGGAAATTAACATTGGGAAGACGGAACGGAATTCAAAACTTCAAAAGCCTGTTCGTTTCAGGACCATAAATCTTTGATTGCACACATCTCTTCCTCGCGCGTACTAAGATCTCAGTTTTATGAGACGTTCCTTTGTGGAAATAAATCATTGTACCGATCCCCAAAAAGAAGGAAACTAAACCGTATGCGAAACCTACAGCTGCAAGAGTTTTTGTCTAGCCGCTTGCCCGACATGTACGCAGTCAAAGACGAAATTAATTATTTGTCACACGAGTGGGGTTGTGGGTGGGGGACTAGACGAAACAATCAATCCTGAAACAATGTCGATAATCTCCATATTCATTGTTTTTAACTTTTTTTTCGTTTAGGTAATCGCTCAGTAACGAAGTCCTGTATTTACCCAGCATTACACTGGGGATTACGTACTTTCAGCGTAATTGAAAACAAAGACAAGTGGCTGTCGGTTTCAGCAATGCAAATCATCAGTGGAGACGAAAAGGCGATGAAATTAAGTGACTTCTATGGGCGGAATTGATGATCAAACATGCACCGTTGAACTTCAAAAAAGTACTGTTAGCAGTCTGTCAAAACAGTTCATTACCTTTGGAACGAGAGTAATGTTAGCAAGCTGTCAAAGCACATCATCAACTTTGGAACGAGAGTACTGTAAGCAAGCTGAATAAACACTTAATTAACTTTTGAACGAGGACCACGAGGGATGCGAAATAAAATTCTGTCCCGGTGAATGGATTGGGCGTAGCATCATGCACGCAGAAGAAGAGAAAAATGGAGCTAATCGCGATGTGTGGCTATATTGTGTTGTGTGTGTGTTAGTGCTGTGACCTCTTTTCTCAAACAGTTGTGTCGCTGACTCAGTGGAACATGGTTGTATTCATGGCGACACCTTAATCTCCTTTGTGATAAGAAAGGTTTTTTTGTTGTTGTTTTTTGCGACCGTCTAAATAAAAATGTAGATGCGTTTCGATAGAACAGACCTCCCAGTAATTGTGTCTTCACACACACACACACCTGCATAGACAGTTACGCACGCACACACACACGCACCCGAACGTCTAGACGAAGATTCATTTCCACAGAAGAGACCTAACAGAACTTGTGTGCCCCCCCCCCAACACAGACTCAGACCACGCACGTGCATGGCACAAACACCACCTTTGACCTCTAGCCTATAGATTTGCTCGGAGAAGTTTCTAGGGACCCCAATTTTTTTTTTCCTTTAATATGATCTATATATAACTGCATTGGAATTAATGATTAGATCTAAACCAAGCTTGGAACACACACAAAAAACTATTTTAAAAAAGCAGTTAAAGGGACCCCAATTTTTTTTTTCCTTTAATATGATCTATATATAACTGCATTGGAATTAATGATTAGATCTAAACCAAGCTTGGAACACACACAAAAAACTATTTTAAAAAAGCAGTTAATATATATATATATATATATATATATATATATATATATATATATATATATATATATTTAAAAACTGGAGTGTCAGGAACTCGTGAGGTTCACCACTGTTGGGATCAAAGACATTCCTTTCATTGTCCTGGTGCACGCCACATCTCTAACATTTTTAAAACCGATTTTAAATGGGGAAAACTTTTATTTATTTATTTTATTTTTACTTGACTCATTACGTCACCAGTTGTTTAAGATCCGTATCTTAGTGGTAATCTTCACGCCACCTTTCAGAACGGGTCCACCGTGATCCCCGACCACATGGGAGTCCCCCAAACCCATGAGGGTCCCCCACCCCACTGGGGCCCTTATTTAACTAGAAATGAAAGAGTCTTGAATGACGTCATTTATTTTGAGATGTTTTAGTATTGAAATAATGATTACATAAGGAGTTGCTTCTTGTTGTTTTTCTTTTTGTTATACATGTTATTTTTAATGTATCTTTTTTTATGGTTCTTGACCCTTCTACCTTGTTCTAAAGCGTTCTATTTATTTTAATATGGGTTTTAACATTGTATACATGTCATTTTATGTGTTTTTTTATGTTTCTGTAAGTCTCTGGGATTTTCCTCAAATGTAATTAAATTAGATTTAAGAACATTGTTATGGTTGATAGAACGTTCCCAAAGTATGTAGAAGATTCTACAACATATTTTACCTATAAAAGCCAAAGCTATATGGAACGCTTACTTTAAAAGGTAAGCTGCGAAGTCAATTGTTGCAAGTGGGCTAAACTTGATAAACATACCTTCATAATGTTTTTTAAAATATCCATAGATTCCAAACAAATAATATCCATATCTTTTGTGACAAAAAAATCTAAACCTTTGACGTTTTCAATCAATTGTAACGGGACAATTTTCTTTAATAAATATTTATATTCAACCTGAAGTAATCATTGCTATAAAGTTTTAAATATTACTCTTCTTGGGCGCCCAGGGCGTCAGAAACAAAACATTTAAAGCAACATCTTTGCAGATACCCTCAGATTGTAATGGGATAATTTGAAAAATTAACTTAAATATTTATCGAAATGATTTTTTTTTTTTTTTAGAATAACTAAAATAGTCCCATTTGAAATGACGGATCACCTTTTAGTTCCATTGATTAACGACAATAGATTTGAAAATATATGAATTCCTTTTTTTGTTAAACTGTTTTTGACATGGCCCTAAATTTACGTGAACGTTGATTAAACTTTAGAAGTTATTTTTCGAATAGACAAACCCGGGCAAAACCCGGGTATATTGACTAGTTTGTTTTTTTTTTAAAGAGAAAAACATTTGAATGGCCAGGAGAGAGCTCATACATTTAAGATGTCCCCCATCCATTATACATTCAGGACGGCAGTGCCGCTGTGAAAGGAAACAATAAAACTGTCTCAAATAAGGTCACTAAAAGCTGGCCAATTTGTTGCGGTCTCGGGGAGAACTTGCCACGTAGTAAATTTTTTCCGCCAAAATAAAGCATTTTTACTCAAAGAACTGTGTATGTATGTCACATTTTAGGTCGAGGTCAATAGTTTATATTCTTTGCTTCCTAAAGTATTTGCATATCTTTGTGCTTGGTTAGTAAAATTAGAATTGAAAGATTACAACGAGTTACCAGTACAGACTGTATAGCCTACTAGCCAATTTACCCGGCTTCGCTAAATTTACTTTCAAAATTGGAAATGCTCTCCAAACGGCTCTATTAAAATATAAACGGCTCTATTAAAATATAAACGGCTCTATTAAAATATAAAAGGCTCTATTCAAATATAAACGGCTCTATTAAAATATAAACGGCACCTTGTCCTATCATTTTTATTGATTTTTAATTTATTAACATCTGTATAATCTTATTTACGTCGTGAAATAAACAAAAATAGGACATCTGCAGTGCCTAAACGCTGCTGCGATAATTCGGTATGTTTGTGTCAGATCAGCTAATGGAAATGTGGAAACACAAACAGCTAGCATTTGGAGCAACAACAAAAAAATATTTTTGACATAATGCACAATATTTTTATGTGCTTCTATTTCTAATCATCCTGTAACATATTTTTAAAATTGTTTCTAATTTCCAAGATTTAAAAAAAAAAACAAGATTGATTGAAAAATAACCTGGGAGCAATTCGATTACACATTGTATAATGTTCTATAATTACCGAATCCTTTAGAAATGAAATTATTGTTTTTAGTGATCCAAACAACTTGTCCTTTGTCTTGATAGCATTGTACAGATTTAGTTCAGATAATTTATTTTTTTTTAATGAAAGCACAGGCGGCCAACAAAAATTTAAAAAAAACTTTTAATTTTTATATATACATATTTTTTGGTTGATACTCACTTGTGGAAAACTGGAGATGAAACTTGCAGTGTACGCCACCCAGAGCATTATCTTACACCGGTTCTCTGCGTCACAGATGGTCAAAGGGTGGACAATGGAAAAGTACCGGTCAAGGGAGATAACTACAATGATGTAGGAGGACAAGTAGAATCCAAAGGCGCGGAATACCATACAAATCCTGAAATAATTTAACGAGCAAAACTTATTTTAACACCGCTCAAACGTTAATTTGGGCATGTCAATAGGGTTTATTTTTAATTTGCATTGAAAAAAATATATTAAAAAATACAATTTGTCTCAAAACCTTGATGAGAACTGACTTTCTTAGTTGGAAGTCCGACCTTGTGGTGTGCCAAATAGGGTTCCCAATATTATCGCGATAGGATTAAGAAATAATGATTTATAGTCAAGCTTTTTTTTTCAAATCACTTCCTATATTTACGTGAATCCCTGTAAAAATATCAAAGTTATTTTTTTAAATTTAGGTTTTTAATACCGTTAAGAAAAAAACAACATTTTATTCGCGAACTCAGCTTGATTTTTTTAGCTAATTACAGTACTAACACTGTCTTACGGTTCTATTATAGAGAAATATTTGCTTGATGAGTATTACGAAAGTGTAACCGTTTATTTTTTCTGATGTCGACACCACGTCATAAAATAACGCGTCCGTGGATGTCTCACCATAGAAAGGTTGTAGACCCAGTGTCGTAGCGAGGGTGTTTGGCGCCCGGGGACAAGATTCGCGCCCGGGGACAAGATCCAATTTTAGCGCCCCTTTTTCTTATTTTTAAACTCTCAAACCCATTATTTTCATCAATAAAATAATATCAAAGCACATTTTGGCCCCTAACTAGCTGGCGCCCGGGGACATCTATCCCCCCCTGCCCCCACCACGCTACGCCTCTGTGTAGACCACAACTTACACCCGAAAGCCTAGTTTAAGCGCGCAAACATCGGAACCAAATAACTGATGGTGGTGGTTCGAGCAGAATACCATATTTTATTGGACAAACGAAATCGTCAGTTGGAACATGCTCATCTTTTCTTTAAATTGTATTTTGTGTCACGGGTTAGGGTTATTTTATTTCGTTTGGTACGACGTATCGAGTGTTAAGTCATTCCTTTTTGTATAATGTAACAAATGATTTTCTTTCGTTCTGAAAATTTTTAAAAAAATATGTTTATAGACTGGATTAAACTGATTCTATGAGATGGAAGTTTCGTGAACGGTTACATCTTTGTTAATAAAAATTTAACCCACCTGCATGCCAGATCCCCTGCCTGCCACGACACGGTGATATGCCAGGATGTCTCCATGGGCATGAACACACAGGTCACAAAAAGGTCAGCGACGGTCAGGTGGAGAACACACATGTTGACCCGCGACCGGTTCCTGCTGCCCCAAACCGTCACGAGGACCGTGAGGTTGCCCACCAGCGCCACCACGAACATGAAACAGTAGGCCACCACCGAGACCAGGGTGTCTTGTGTGAACCTCATGTCCTCGGGAAGCTGCAGTTCTTTTGTGTAGCACGAGACGTTACCAGCCAGCGTCTGCTCAAAGTGCAGCTCCCAGGCGGGTCGAGTTGACGGTGTCTGGGCGGAGATGTTACTGGACACGTCGAACGTGTCCAACATTTCAGACGATCCCAGCATCTTGTAAACCGTTGTTCCATTGCCAGACTTGCATTCCCGACTCAGAAGCGTCATTGTCGCCGATTTTATTTTATGTCTGGAGAAAGTTAGGTTGTTTTTTTTTAGTTGTTTTTTTTTAAACTACATTATGAGATTATTAGAAATTGAGGAATTTCTTAAAATAAAATATGTTTTCAATGTCGTTTTCTCTATTAAAAAAAAAATAAATAAATAAGTTAATTCAGCATTTTTTGTTTTTTATTATTATTATTTTATTTTTTAATTATATTAATTGTATGAAGATTTCAAGTTTCATTAAATAAGATAAAAATTAGCAAATGTTGCCATGTTATGTGGCTAATTTAATTATCCAGCCCATATATCCGGTTTTGTTCTTTTTGAAAAGGTGACGAGTTGCTCAAAGTGTTGCTGTTTTCGTGGAATTATTCCATTTTTTTTTATTATTTTTTGTATATTTCTTGTTTAAACACTTTTGAGCTCAATGCACATTTAATAAAGTCCAGTAGTGTTGGTTTCTGTTGAAATAATACAGAAGTTAATATTTTCAAACAAATAATGAAGCCAATAATTATGTATGTATAAACCTTACAATTGTTTGCTCATATGAAATCTAACATAAGATTGTTTGTTTTTTTTTAAATGGCCACTTTCTTAAATAAATGTGGACATAAGTTATTTTTATGAGAATTTGTTTCCGAAAGTGAGTTACCTTTATTTTAAAAAAAGTGGGAAGGGTATTGTTGTTGATGTCAGAGATCAGGTGAACTACATACTTCATGGAATGTTTTAAAAGAAATGACCAAAAGAAATGTTTTTAATATTTCACCCCTAAAGCAGCAAACTCAAGAAAAAAAGTATTATTATTGTTATTATTATTATACGTGGATTTAAATAGCGTGGTACCCCAGCCTAGGGCTGGGCTCACCACGCTGTACATCCAGCCTAGGGCTGGGCTCACCACGCTGTACATCCAGCCTAGGGCTGGGCTCACCACGCTGTACATCCAGCGATCCCGACCCGAGTGGTGCGACTACATCCAGCCTAGGGCTGGGCTCACCACGCTGTACATCCAGCCTAGGGCTGGGCTCACCACGCTGTACATCCAGCCTAGGGCTGGGCTCACCACGCTGTACATACAATTAATAAAAATCTGAAATAAATAATTTTCTGATAAGTTTACCTATAAAAGTGCAACTTCACTTTAATATAAAAAACATATGCACAATTGTGTTTGTAGATCTGTGTCCTACTATAGTAAAAGAATTAGTTAATTGTTTTAGAAAAACATAATTTGAGTAGAAGTTAATATAAAATGTATTATAGTGTAGCATCAAAGTACGCTGTTATTCATTGTATATTTACAATCACTGCGAATCACCCACAAAAATTAGTCCTTGCAACTTATTTTTAAGATACCTTCAATCTAACATGCCATTTCAACACTCACATCATCTTTTTAAAAAAAATAATTTCAATTCCGTTTAGGATCAAATTCATTGCATGAGTGCAGACGACACATCAAACCGTAGTCGCTACACAAAGATGACACGGTGTAAGTACTGCGTGAAGATGTAGAAAGTAGCTCAATTCTTTTCGGCCCTCTCGGATACTGCTTTTCAGCTAAATCCTTTTTTTTAAAATAATTCTGTTGTTTATTTTCTTTTGTTTGTTCGCTGACGAAAGCTTCTTGCCGACACCTTCGTTGTTTCGTTGCATTCCTTTTTTTTTTCAGGTTGTCCCATACTTTTTTTTACTCATTTCCAACAAAGTAGCTGCACAGCCAATCGGGTTTTAAGATTTAATATACCGTGTATATTGTTTGCAATTACAATTTTACAATTGGCCTAATTACGTTATTAATGTATTATCGGCTCTACGTGAGAATAAACTTAAATAATTTCGGCAACATCTGCAGGTTCCAAAAATCTTTCAAAATTCTCAACATTGTTCAAATAAATAACAATGGCTCACATATTCTGATAATTAAAACACACTCTATTTAGAATTGAAACGAAAACTTGAACATTTACAGCAATCTCACTATGTAAATGACACTTCTGCCAACCTTCACATAAGTAAAAATATCCTTCCTTCAATTATTCTCTTTACACTCTAGGACACTTTTCATTTAAATGTTCAAACAGTATTTTTTTTAAATTTGCTTTGTACAAAATTAAACTTCCTGCGGCACTATCTTCTCTCATAAAATGAATTGAACCTTGAGATTTCTACACCACCTACTTGCTCTGCTTAGGGCAATCATTCCATTTGACACCTAACCTATATATACCCCCTTCTCCACCCCCACCCCCACCCCGTCTGTTGTTAACGCCTCAAGCCCCCCGCCTCATTCAAAAAAAAAAAAAAAAAAAAGGCCGAAACGAAACGACAACTCTATCTTTGTCGCGGTGATCGTTCTGCGTCCAACAAGGATACCCACCACCACCACCACGGACAATGATGACAAAGTGTTCGCCCCTCCCCGCACAAGTGCCTCCTGGAAGACGGTGAACGTCAGTCGCTCACCAAACCAACTGACTCGACGGACGCCCTGGCAACAGCGGTCTTATCTCCGACTGTAACTAATTCATCAGGCGTCCTCCACCGCGGAGCGTGACACTCGTGGAGACCACCGGACGCAACGGTTTACTGCCCTCGAATCTTTACGGCAGACATCGTAACGACCAGGCCGTCGTAATAGTTTGATACCATTCCAGCAGACAAGGGAGATCGCGCATTTAGGACCTTTTCGACCAGAGATGGGGGGGGGGGGGGGTTAATTTTTAAAACACTCCCTGGAGGGAAAAAATGATAGGGAAGCAACATCCATTAGGGAAAAAAATTAGTTTATTTAAATAATTTTTACCAGCAGAAAAATTAGTCAATACTAATTTCTTAACCAAGAGTTAAGTTTATAATTAATTACATGACTATCTTACAGCATGTTGATGAATAACATGACTATCTTACAGCATGTTGATGAATCACATGTCATTATATACATGTTCTTGGGTGTCACCATTAATAATAAGCTAACATGGCATGAGCACGGCAAAATGATGTATAAGAAATTCAACCAAAGACTGATCTACCTCAAAAAGCTGTACAACTTCGGCAAAGACACGTCGTTAACTTATTCTACAGTACAACAATTATCTATTAATTCAAGTTTAGCATACTTTGCTCGTATGTAACAATTGGAAGCCTAATAAATTTCAATATTGTTTAAGGTGTGGGAATTCATCGTCTGATATTAAACACCGCATAAACCGACTAATCAAGAACGCTAAGAACAAAACACAAACTTAACATCCTTCACTTGAAGAACTATTTAAAGAAAGATTTTATTGTAAAACTAAACACATTTTGGATGATACATCCCACCTTCTTTATCACAGATACTTAGGATCGGCCCGTTCGGGGCGAATTCTTTCCGCCAAGGCGAGGACTGAAAGATATAAAAATTCTTTTGTTCCCCAATCTATACGAATCTACCATCGTGCTCCCTCTGAGGTCACAAATCTTAATGAGAGCTAAATAAATCCCTGATATGGCAATGAGAATACACTAAATTGCTGTTTTATTCACTAGTGAATTAATTTGATGCAGACGTCTTCTGTTCAAATTGTTTTTGTTTGTTTTTTGTGCTGAAAATGCACTATGCAATGTTATCTATCTCACAGTTGGTTGATGAACGACATGACTATCTTACAGCGTGTTGAATTGCATGACTATCTTACAGCATGTTAATGAATCCGTAAAAATGTGTGCAACTATGACTACATCGTCTTTAAGTACTTATTTTGAAATCAAATTCAAACCATTTTTTACGATGTAGATCTCAATCACTTCTAATTTCCTATATTAGACAGCCACATTCCAAAAAACACCTCCATATTCTAAAGTTGTCATTTATCTGTTGGCTCCAGCTCCACTGTAAATACTTCATTGTTTTAAAGGTTCTCATTGTTATCAACTTATCGAATCTTATGACCAAGAACACCAAAAACAAATTAATTGAAGAACCACACAATTTCTTCTGAAAATTCCAAAATCAGAGAAGCTTACTATTCTTGGAGGCTTCAGTGCCAGGAGTTGGGACAGACCACCAGTCATGGGAGGGACAATCGGATGACAAGGCCATGAAAAGCTAACAGCAATGGTCTACGGCTCGTAACGTGTGCACGACCGATAACCATTTTTTTTTCTTCTTCTTTATTTCGAGGACCCACGATCAATCTATTGATCATTCTGGCTCCTATGTATGTAGAGGGGGTTCGCGATGTTTATGTGCATGGCTTTGAAGAGGACACTTCACTGGTTGTATTGGCTACTCAGCAAGGGTATTAGGAACTGGGTTTTGAAGGCAGGAGGCTATATACAACCATGTGTCAAGTGTTCGTCGCCTCAATTGTACCTTTCAGAATCTTGTTACAGTCCCTGGTTGTCTTTGGCATTAATGAACAGTCCCTGTACTCTGTTCTTGCAGTTATGAGGCGGAACTGCCTGTCATTGCGTCGTCGCTGCCTTGTGGGGACGGGAACGAGTTTCTGTTTAATGCTGGAGCAGTGGACCAGCCCCATTTTTATCTTGAACATCATAGAGAGCCTGGATAATCGTCGACTTTCATCCAATGGTGACCAGCCCAGTGTTTCCAGCATGCTGCCAACACTTGAGGTGTTCCTGTAGCGGTTCGGGACAAAGAGTGCTGCCCGTCGCATGACCGCCTCCAACTTGTCGATGCCCTTCTGGGTAAATGGGTCCCAGACTGAAGATGCGTAATCTAAAAGCGGTCGGACAGGGGCTTTATAGTCTTTTTCTTCACACGTTTCTCTGACCATGTGGACAGTGTCCATCCCTGTCCATGTGATATTGTCTAGTCTATCTTAGTTTTTGTAGTGTTGCGTTTGTTTTAAATGTGGTAAATTATAAATATGTTTTTTGTTGACTTTGTACCGCGCTTCGAGCCTTTGGGGATGAAGCGTGTTTTTGAAATGAACTT